CTGCGAACCTTAAGGTCAGCGGTTCGAAACTACCAGCTGCTCCGCGGGAGAAAGATGAGGCTTTCTACTCCTGTAAAGATTTACACCCTCGGAAATCCTGTACAGGGTCGCTATGGGTCGGAACCGACTCGATGGCACTTAACAACAAGGACAAATATAACTATGCTATTATTTGGCTTTCCAAAGAACATTACTCTAGATGAGGGAAGGAATCCAAATTAGTGTCATAGATTAAACTGTCAAGTACAGTAGAGTCTGTTCCCACTCATAGCTACCCTGCACAGTTTTCATGGCTTCAAATCTTCACTGTAGCAGAAAACCCTCATCTTTCTCCCATTTTACAAAGAAAACTCAACCAAGCCCAAACTTTCCATTAAAAAATGCTTGGATAATCAGCACTGGACTGCAAGTCCACAGTTGGTGTCCACCAGCTACTCTGTGGGAAGATGATAATAAGGTTTTCTGCTCCCACAAAGATTTAAAAGTCTTGGAAATCCTACACGGGGTTGCCATGAGTTGGAACCGGCTCAAAGGCACCTAACAACTGTGTATTTCAGACGAGAGAAATAGATTATCAAAATGGTGAAAATATTCCTAATAAGGCACACTAATAAGGAGTCCTGTTGTGGTGTCGTGGGATAATGTACTGGACTGCAAGGTAGGTGCTTCACATTTACCAGTAGCAACTCGTAAACTCTATACAGGGTGGCTATGAGTTAGAATCAAGCACTTAAGCGCAAGGCACGCAACTCTTGAAGTAAAGGGAAATTTTGATGCTTAGGGTTTTTTGATTTAGAAAAATTCAAGAACTCAATATTAGTAAGTCACTTTTTTAAAGTTTCCCATTTTTAAAGTTTCCCATTTGAAACTATTTATAGATTATACATTTCAATGAGAACTGTGAGGGTAGGCAAAGGTATAGCTCCTAGATACAGGGGAAGATGGATGCCAAAGATGCATGGACATCATCAAGGAATGCTGGGTCTACAGAGGCTGAAAGGAGACAAAGACTTTTCCCCGAGAGGCAAAAAAAAAAAAAAGCCTTACTCTAGAGTGTACACTCTAAATTCATACTCTCAGCCTCCTAATCTGTAAGAGAATAAATGTACTTGTGTGGCACTCTTCTTATACTCTTACATTTTTGTTAAAATGGCACTAGATAACTAAGACAGCAGATGATCATTCCATTATTCCTGGGAGTATAAATCAACAGTGCTAAAATAGCTTTGTAACACTACATAAGCAAGGCAGAGGCCAGGCATGGGGCTGAGAGCTAGAGAGAGGCCTGCCTGCTGCGGTTATAGCCTGGCAGAGGAGAAGCTGTCCTGACTGGAAGAACTGTGTCCTGTATGTTTCTGATCCTGAAGTGTAACTGTGACTATGATGTCTGAGTTCTGTGTGGCCACTGCAATAAAACACTGAACCCAGATAAGAAGCAGAGAATGCTGTGGAAATCCTACACAGGATTGCTGTAAGCCATAATTGATTACACAGCACTTAATAAGAAAAGCAGACCTACATAACATGACAACTGCAAGGACTCTTGCCCTTCCCATCTTTTGCTTAGAATTTCTATTCTGTTTCCTTTCACACTAAAAGTCCATGGTTGTCTAGTCACTTCTTCCTAACCTCAGTACCAGTGGATAATAAACGCAAAACTGACTCAAGGAGCAAAGACAGAAGGAAGCTGTAGCCATTCTTCATACACACTCCTTTTACCATATCTATATATAGCCTGAACATCTTCCCCAAACTACCTCTCTTAAGTCCACGTTCTTTCTTTTCATGAAGAAGCCATGGGGTTCCCATTTTAGTTGGCCTAACGAAAATCTGGAATGGTGCTGTAGGATAAAGCACTGGATCACAAGGTCAGTGGTTCAAATTCACTAGCAGTTCCTTGGAAAACCCATACAGGGTTGCTATAAGTCAGAACCGACTCAAGGGCACTTAACAAGAACAACAAAAGGAGCTCTGGAGTCCTGGTATGGCACTGTGGATCAGTACTGGCATGCTAGCCACAAGGTCAATGGTTCAAACTTACCAGCTAGTCCTAGGAAACCCTATACAGGATCACTAAGAATCGGAACCAACTTGACGGCACTTAACAACAAACAAAGGAGCTCTGGCCTAGGGTTTCTATGAGTTGGAATCAACTTCTTAGCAGTGGGTTTGGCTTTAGGGATTCAGTGGGCCTTATCCATCCTAATTACAAAGATGAAATGCCCAACATAACCTTCCTTTAATAAGAGATTCTATTCAGGGGACAATTAAGGGGAATAGTATAATTTAGTAACAGATAAGAGTAATGGATGAACAACAGTCACTATGCATGAGAAGACGGCTGAAATGATAGTTTTGTTACAAATACACTTCCCCCCAAAAAAATTTAAAGCAAAATACAAAAGAGAGGACATTAACTGATACTGAATGTTGATTTTTCAACTATAGAGAAAACTTACAACCTTGGGTTTCTAAATATTCATCAGCTACTCTGGCAACAACACTCTGTAGCATTAAGGAAAAAATAAAAGGAGCCTTCTTCAATCGTGAAAGGTGTCTCAACTCCATTAAAGTTATCTAAGTTAGCAGTAAATGACTCTGGGTCATAAAGGAAAATAAATAATAGTAGAGGCAAGAATCAGTATAAATACTTAAAAGACTGAAAACATTTACGGAATAAGATTAATGAAAAAACCAAGCCTGGCTCCACTTAAAATCTGAGAACTAGGAATACATTTAATTCTTTAGAAAGTTGGTAACATTATCTTGTACTTGCTATTTTTATACTGTTTCCCCCACTATCATGAGCATTTCAAAACAAAATAAAACTCTAAGCCCTGAGTTCTTGCCTCAGGGACTGAAGGGGATATATTTCTCAGAACAAATTCTATTTCACAGGCAAGGGAAATGAGAAATTTTAACTTAGAAGGGCTAAGTCATTTCACCGGGAAGGCAAGCAAGATTCTGTGACTTCAAGAAGAAAAAGAAAGAGAGCTAGCCTAGAACCAGGAAAAATATAATACGTTACCATTAGCAAGTGATGTGGTTTTTCTAGTCAATCCTTCTTACCCACCAGGATGCAAGTACAAACATAAATTGTAGCTGGGAATTTCAGTAATTCGTATTTCTGATATTAGGACAAGATGGGGTAAATGTTGATATCCCAAGACAAAACCCTGAATAGTATTTCTCATAGAAAGACAGCGCTACACACTGTGTTTAGAATATATCACCTTATATATATACAAAGCAATATTTCAATGGAAAAATCTATCATAACCCAACTTTCAGGACACAACCTATTCAGAAGTGTTGAATTAATTTTGAGGTGGTCTTCAATATAATAAAAACAT